AACATTGCAATCTTTTTTCCGCATGTTTTCTACTTTTCTCCGAAAGTGAAGTTCATTTAGAAACTTGATTTTTTTCCCATTCGGCGATGGAATAAATAATCAACTAGCGAATGCTTGTTGTATAACTCTTATCTGAAAAGTATAAAAAGTAACACGGTTACATTTTTTGACTCGTAAATGCCTACAGAACTCTATCTTCCTCTACATTTTGTTACGAGTGTTACAATCGTTTTAAAAAACACTAGGCGATTTGCAAGACTTTACAGAGCAACCACCATCCATCGAATTTCGGGGTCCTCTGGGTTCTGAGGTTTTTCTTTCATCCCTTCTATATTTAGCCTCTCGACTCAACATTTCTCGAAAGAATATACATTAATCCTCTTTCGCTAACTGCACTATCAAATGACTAAAAAAAGTTGTCTGTTTCATTCTGTTGGCATATTAATCGTTCTTTAAACACCCTTGTTCTGATACGTAGTGTTATGACTATATTATATGTATTATGGCGACGTGTTTTTTCAGTTCTGTTCAATTTTAAGGTGGAGATACTGCATGCTCAGCTGGTTTACAGGCTTTTTCAATTGATAATGAAGAATGACGCAGTTTGACAAAACAAAAAATGAAGTTGAAAATTCTGTTTTTACACTTAGGATTATAGAAGTTACGTCTGACAGGCCAAACACCCGTTCTACGACATCAGATGTGCTTTCACTCTTTGTCTTTCTGTCGAAAGTTTTTTTGTGCTGTATCTTTTGTGTAGTAAGTAAATCTTTATCAGAAAAACCTTTATATCTGATGAAGTATGTTAACTAGCTTCTAACTAACGGGCAATTTTTATAGAATTTCAGAAATCACGTTCAGTAATGTGGAATATTTTAATATGAGTCACAGTCATGGAACAAAAATGAGTATAGTTCGTGAAAAGAATTTTAAATTTCACAGTGAACAACGGTTTATAATGAGAATGAAGATTAGAAAAGAGAAAAACGATAATAAAGTTATGGGGTATGTCCAGCATTCGATGTCCAAAAGTTCAGTAGTGACCGCTAATTTAATTTTTCCTAATGAATATAAAACAACAACAGTTGTAAATGCCAATTGTAACTGTAAATATGACTTATCAGACTATTGTTCTCATTTTTGCGCAATACTTTATCGGCTAGCGCATTATGAAACATTACATTATAATCTTTTATCCGATAACGATTTTTGAACAACAGAACTGAAAAAACACGTCGCCATAATACATATAATATAGTCATAACACTACGTATTAGAACAAGGGTGTTTAAAGAACGATTAATATGCCAACAGAATGAAATAGACAACTTTTTTTTAGTCATTTGATAGTGCAGTTAGCGAAAGAGGATTAATGTATATTCTTTCGAGAAATGTTGAGTCGAGAGGCTAAATATAGAAGGGATTATGCGCTATTTATTTTGACTGAGATGGCCAAGAGTGGCTGTATTTCTTTAAAACTTCTTGAAATTTTTTCTATATGAGAGTTCAAACAGTGTCAACCTATTACGTTTTTAGAATTTAAACTGCTCTTGAATTTGATGAAACAACCATCCACTAACGTTGTTTAGTTTTTGAGATGTATAATTTTTAAAATATGGACAAACTTGGAATCGAGCTTTGAACGTAAAACCTGATCTATACAGCATATACCTATCATTTTCTAGAAACAGCTAGAGAATGTTATTATAAGTTTACACAAATAATTTAAACTTTAACTTTCACATTATCACCGAGTTATAAACAAAATAATGAGCGAGGATATAAAAAAAAAATTGGTGAATATCCAGATGTGAGTAATCATCGGTCCGATAAAAAACCTAAAAATCCCGGTAGATGTGTCATGTAGAAAAAACCTCAGAATCCAGAAGACGCTGAAATTCGACGAATAGTTACTTCAGAATGTAGAAAGCAATATTTGTTGCAAGTCGCCTATTAAATACAGTTTTTAGAGATCATTTTGAGCTTTCTTTTGACAAAAAGAAAAGTTTCGAAAAATTAATTCTCTCAGAAAAAAGTTCTATTTATTTTAGAAACTCCGTGATACCGACTTTTTTAATATATTCATTCATTTCTAAAATCTCAAAGACAATCTAATCTGAACAGACTCCTATGGTGTCAAACCGAATTAACCTATGTGAGTTAAAAATAGAAAAAAAATTAATAAATGGCACCCCGAAATTTCTGGATAGTCAGCTGATTGGCAAAAACTGTTTACTCTACAGAATATTGTTCCGGACGTCTAATATTTTAGAAAAACAGTGCATTTTGTACGGAATTTAATTCCCTACTGAACAGCAGAACTTTTAATTTTTTAATAGAAACTAGATAGGTCAGGAGATTGAAAACTAAAGTTTAGAAATATTTAAACTCAAATTTTTGAATTGAAAACTCATTTTTTTCTGAATTTTAATGTCAATTTTCGTGATCAAAATAAAAAACTGCGTTTGCGGATGTGTTTCTGAGGCTGACTAAAGAAAAAAACGTATAAATAACTTCAGTATCAAAGAAAATTGCTACCACAAGAAATAATTTCGATATTCTAACGCAGATTAGCAGGCGTTAAAAAATTTTTTTTCCAGAAAATTGCGCTTGAACGGGTTAAGTTCAAAATATCACAAATACAAAACACATCTTTTCCAATAACACATAAATGTTCAGAACCCTATTGGGGATAAGTCCCATTACAAACAGTACAATAGTTCATTCCGTAATGGATCTCATTTGAATTCCACATGGGTGCACCTAGCTACTCTCGCAATAGCCTCCAATTGGTAGGCAGTAACGGGTAAACCAGATGATGCAAACATCTAACACTGTGTGATGCTGTTACTTTTGCACTGTAAAGTCGGAAATTATTTATAGAAAATGCTCAGCGATCTTCAAAAAGTACATATACGAAAGTTTCCAGATTATAAAATATCGAATTTCTAAGAAAGCTGGGAAATCGATATCGATTTTCTATTTTGTTGGAAATTATTTATAGGAAATCCAGCTTGACCTTCCAACTTTCTTGAAAATCCAGCTAGATTTTCTAGAATTTAGAAAATCCTTAGTGATTTTATATATGGACTTTTCAAAAATCGAAAAGTCGCATTATTTTCTACTTTCTAGAAAATCACTAACGATTTTCTAAATGAAGAGGAAGAACAACTTGAGTGAGAATGCTGATGATCAGTGATTTGCAAATATTATGCAATACTGTAACATGTTTATTTTTAATATTTTTTTTTCTGCACCACTCACTGATACCCTTTAATATATCGTTGTACAATTACAGCGTGTTTCAAAGCAAAAACGCTTTTTTATGAAAATAAATCCTACACAAAGTTTTTTAGAGACTCGGACTTTGTGCATAATAAACGGTATTGATCTTTACCGCCCTCTTGCGACATTGAACTAATTAGATCATAATGGAGGCCTTTTGTATATATTTGATTGGTGTGAAAATGGTCGATTATTTAAAACAAGCGAACGTACTTATGACCGTCTCACATACGACCAAAAGAATAGCTTTCTGTTATTTCTACTGTAGTATGATAATTAAATTTTCATTCATTTGAATCAGTTAATTAAATCTTTCACAAGGAAAGAGGATGAAAACTGCAATGACAACTTGTCTATTGTGTCTTTAGTTTCTTTGTGAACGGAATGAATTCAAGAAGTCCTTGAATGTGTTTTTTTTATATCGTTCTGGATATTACACAAAGTGTCATAAATATTTCTTTTTTATAGATAAAACAATGACAACTGAATTTGTTCAACAACCGTACAGTGGAGGAGTAAGGATAAAATTAGGCCATTATTCTTTTTCTATTTTCTTATTCTGAATTCTAGATTCATGTTGGTTATGATGCTGACAGTTTTGATAATGATACATTGAATGAGAATCGTTCAGGGTATGATCCAAACGATGAATATTATAATCAACAACAACAATACGTCTATAGTAATGAAGATATAAATTATGGAGAAGACAACGACATATCAACAACTGATCAATTACAAATACAAAATCCACTTTCAACATCATCGATAAAAAATTTGAATCAATTTAGTGAAGCAAGTGATAAAACACCATCGAAAATGAGGAAGCCATCGAAAAAGAAAGAATCAAAGAAACAACAGCAGGCGGTAAGTTAGAAACTATTAATATGCAACAGCTTCAAACAAATACATGTGAAGATACAGATATGATGTCTTTTCAAGCCTTAAGAGCTAGTAAAATCTTTTATTGGAAAACAACTTTACAGCTCGTTAATATTCGCTTTATAGTATTTGTCAATTTTAATCTGTGACTTAAGATTGCTATTCATCACATTTTTTCTTACAATAATCTCTTGTTTTTGTGTAATTAGCTTATTGCCAATGAAGTTGATCAAGTCGAAGGTAACGAACAAATATCTCAAAAAGCAAAGGATAAATTAATCAAAGAAAAAGAAAAACAGGAACGTCAACGTCTAAAACAAGAAGAAAAATTAAAGCGACAAGAAGAAAAACAACGAAAAAAATCGAAAAGTAGAACGAGAGAATCCGTACCATATATTGAAGATCAAGCCAATATTCCTCAACGTTATGATGACGATTATCGACAGCCGCAACGCCAGCAAAATGATCAACATGAAGTTGATGGTCATGAGAGAGAATATTATCCTAATCAACACCAAAATGGCTACCATAACAAGAATGAGAGGGCAACGATAAAACAGTCAGACGATAAACAACGCTCCAATTCATCAAGACTAAGAGCAAAAGTTGTGATGTTAGATGATACTGAAGAATTGATCGATTATGATGTAAGTCCTCTATGATGTAAATGAAATCTTCTTCATTTTTCTCATTTCTTTCTAGAAAAATGACATTGGAAAAGACTTTTATAACCGTGTGTGTGATGTAATGCGTTTAGAAGAAAAAGATTACTTTGGTTTAATGTTCTTAGACAGTCAAAATATGAGAGTAGGTTGTACTTGTCAAATTACTTTGCTAACAACGAAGCCATTCGCAAGTAGAGATCTGCACGGGCAAAATGTTTTTGTGGATTTTTTCGCTCCGAGTGCAGAAAAAAAAAGAAGTTTTTCTCTCTGATGTGTTACCGACGTGGGGGCATTTTTTTGAAAAACTCGTGCCCGTCGAAAAGCGATTAGCTAAAACAATCAGTATATAAATAAAATAGAATCTCTCTTGTTGGATTTCTCAGATTAGTTTTATTTTATACACTTTTGTAGTCCAGAGAAAGGGGGATATTTAACGCCTGAATTACAACTAGAATGTTTTCAAGGCATAAATATTAAAATACAGTTGATAGATTGGAGAACGTTGTTTATAATAAGATTATTCGATATTGAGAGATTATATTCTCAAATTACGATTTTTATGTAATGTACTATTTTTACGGCAGTAAAGATAATATCAGATTAGTAAAAGATGCTTATTTATTTTGTCACGTCAAACATACACTTTTCTGCTCTCAACGTAGTTTATTCACGTTTCAATTTTGTATTACATTTAACACCTAATATTCCTTAAAACAAAATACCATTCTATACTCTAATATTTATATTTTAGTTATGGTTGAATAATAATAAACGTGTTCGAAGTCAATTGAAAGGTATGATATTTGATTATTCTTAAAATCTATTGTCTGGATTACTATGATTTCCTCTAGGTGTTGAACCAATTTTTTATTTTCGAACAAAGTTTTATCCACCAGAACCGGCTTTACTTCAAGAAGATTTAACACGGTAAGCATTTTATTATACGTGGAATAGAGTTACAGAAGAACTTAAATCATATTAACTATTTGCCGACTGATTTGTAATGTATTGATTAGTACTCTGTTTTTTTGAGCTTTTCAATATAAGTTAGATGACCAGTATTTGATTGTCTATTTATTGATTTATTTAGATATCAGTTATGTCTACAACTACGCCATGATATTTTATCTGGAAAGTATGTAGACAATATTGTGTTAATATCTGATAGTATGTGAGCACTGATTGTTTGTTTTAGATTACCATGTTCATTTGTAACTTATGCGTTACTTGGTTCATATACAGCTCAGGCTGAATTAGGTGATTATTCTGAATTCGATCACGGCCAGGGTTATGACTATTTAAGAGATTTACAATTTGCTCCAACACAAGACGATGAACTCTTAAGGAGGATTGCGGAACAACATAAACGACATAAGTAGACGTTATAAACGCCGTATTTTTCGTAGTATTGATTTCTGTTATCATTATTATTTTTCAGAGGTCAAGCACCTAATGGAGCTGATTTACATTTTTTGGAGAATGCTAAAAAATTAGCAATGTATGGAGTGGATATTCATCATGCACAAGTAAGAAAGAGAAATACACGTGTATTTTAATGAAAAAGTATCGTTTGTTTTAATTTTGTTTAGGATTCGGAAAATGTTGATATTAACATTGGTGTATCAGCTAATGGTTTATTAATTTATCGTGATAAATTGCGAATCAATCGATTTGCATGGCCCAAAATATTGAAAATATCTTACAAGAGAAAATATTTTTATATTAAATTAAGACCGGGTGATGTATGTATCATATGTTCGTCTTACTTATTTATTCTTTCTACTATCATCTGATGAGATAAAAATATTGTTATAATTAGCTACTGAACTTGACAAGAACGTTGCTCGACTTTCGAAGCAGGATGAGATGAGAAACAAGCTGTTTCATGAGTTTGTTTTAAAATTGTACTTTGTAAAATGGCAGTTTTATATTTTTTAGAGAACATTTTCCTGAAGCAAAAGATAAAAAAAACTCAAACGAGCAGAATGGAAGTTATTCCCGCTTGCTACTTCACTGCCTTGAATATGGTATTCTCTGTCTTTGTCATTCGATTATGCTATGCCTGCCCAATCTTTCTTTTATTATCAAAACTTGTTAGAGATTTTTCTTGATTTGACTCTTCTCTATCCACAAATCTGGTTCTAACTTCTTGACAATTTTACACTATTATTCCTAATAAGATTTTGGGGTGAATGTTGTTCGACGACTGTAATCTATTTACAATAGTTAATCTATGTTTTTGTCCGTTTTTAGTTTGATCGCTATGAGAGTACAATTGGATTTAAACTTCCAACGTATAAAGCAGCAAAAACACTATGGAAAATAGCTGTTGAACATCATGCATTTTTTCGGTAAACTAAAGTAGTGTTTGTTCTTGTTTTAATTAATAACAGACATTTTGTTTTATAGTTTACGTAAACCGGAAGAAATACGTAAAAAAAACGTGTTACCACGTTTCAATTCAACATTTCGTTATACTGGCACATACACCTATCATCAAGCAAGACAATTATTATTAGAGCGTCCGGCACCAGATTTTGAAAGATCTTTGAGTAAAAGAATGACAAGAAGTTTAGATGTTTGTAAGTTTTGAAGTGAATGTTTTTTTAATGGCAGTAACTTGATCGTTTATATATTTTTATAGTAACACCTGATCAAAGAAAAGGTAGAATGCCTGAACATAACGCTTTGGCTCTTCTTTCTATGCTTGTATTCTCATCGATGATCTTTCTCTCTCATTTTTCATATTTCATTTGTGTAGCAAGTGTCGATAATTTGACACTTCAAATATGCTACTAATTATAAATGTTGCTTATATTGTTGCACAATGTCTTCTCGTTTTGTATCATTCTGAAGCAGTTCATTTGTCTGTGAACTCGTCATAATGACGGTTCATATACGTAGATGTAAAAACAAATGAGTTCTACAATTTTCAATTATTGATAAAATTATTTAGAGGAGAATAAATAGGTGTTGAACACGTTCTGATTTATTTTCGCTGTAGTAAATCTTCTTGGAGGTTTAACAAATTTTCTCAGTATATGCAACTTTCTTTGAATATTTCTAATCATCAAAATTTTCTTCCTTGAACAGTCTCTAGTTAGTCATTTTACGCATGAAGCCATAACTAAAATAAACGAAATATTTCACATATCGTTTGTTTTATGTCGTTTCAGCTGGTGAAAATTATAGTCCAAATCGTCCTCAAAAACCTGTTATTAACCAGAATCGTTTGCCTGATCAACATCAATATTCTCATGGTAATTTAGTTCGTCCAACAAGCGTTGATCCACTCAATGATCAACAAACTCTTCCAAGACGACAATCACCGGCAATCGTTCTACCTCAACCAAATGGTTCTCGTGACGATTATCTTGATAGACACGTAAGAACACTTGTTTGTGTCCTGAAATCCTTTATATTCATATTTTCTACAATTTAGAAAGTTGTATCTATATTAGGTAAAAAAACTATAGGCTGTTAAGAAGAGTGTTGAAAAGGCATGCGTTTTTGATTGCACGAAAATTCTTAATTGCTCGGCGCTGGAAAATTTTTGCATGTCTTTTGGTTTATCCATTTGTATTGCTTTATGACAAGAGAAAATTTTTTTTTCAGAATGAATCTTATTTTCCATCATCAAGAGAAAACGTACAACCGGCAACTTATCATGATCCGGAATATGCCCATGTTAGTAAACCAACGAAACCAACACCGTCAACATTGGAGAGAGATGATAAAAAATCAGGTCAAAATGGAATACCGCCGGTAGGCATATATATCTTCAATAATTCTTTTTATATATCTACTTTTATTGCTTTTATAATAGCCAACACCATCACGAGACTCCCGTGGCGTACAAGTTCTTCCAACTGGTCCAATATCGGTAAGGACAGCATCGCTGACGCTATGTAAATTGATTAAAATAGTAGATTTAGAGTTAAAATTTCTTTTTACTATTTGATTTTCGATTTTATTTTGATTAACAGGAATTAAAACCAAAACGACCACCTGTTCTTCCACCGACGTATGCGAATGTTAATGTAAGTGGAATAATATCGGTGTTCAAAAATATCAGAATTAACCAGAAAAAAAACCCCTAAATCTCTCATCGTAGTTATTAGTTTATGGCTAAAAGAATCGCTCATTATATTCGTTCTTCCACCTGTATAATACCATTTTTGTTTGTGACATTTTCTTCTGTACTGTGGAATTATTTGATCCTTTCAGCATTATTTAAATGTTTTTGTTTTTAATATTTTCAAGGAATTTTTTGAAAAAGCTTAATATATTTATTTAGGGTCAAGATGTACAACCATCATCTCACCATCCGCAATATCCTGTGGATCATGACGAAGTACGCGTTGTCCATTTGTCGTAAATTTTTCTACTTTATTCTATTTTCTTTTAGGCATTGCTAACAGCAATACGTTTAGCAACTGATCTTGATCCCAATATGCAGGTGGAGAAAGTCGTTATTACAAATGAGCATTAGTGTACATACACATCTATTCTATATACAACTGTTTTACTTCTCACTTTTCTTAACATTTTATGTTAATATAAACTAATATGCTGCATTATAATTGTTCCTTGTGTTCTCTTCTGTTTCTGTGTATTGTTTGTGTGTATGCCATGAAAATGTTTGGTTTTGTGTTTTGAATACATACGTGTATTCTTTCCATGTTTTGGAGATTGATTAGAGAGCTAACATGGTGTATACATATGCATACAGGCGTTTTTTTCAATACTTGTATAATTAGAGGAGCTGTCATCTCTTTTTCTGTAACTCGTGTGCTAATACTTCTTCCAAACTATGTGTATATACATTTTCGAATATAATCTCATAATTCTTTCCTATCTATACTTTTTTGTATTGCATTTCTTTATTTGTGTGTGTCTTTGTGTATATAGTTATTATTTCTAACATTTTCGATAGAAATTTCTCCCTATTCACGAATTAACATGTGTACATATGTGCAAAATAGTTTTCCCATGTTCTCACTCCTATCAGGTGTATCTTTTGCGTAGTATAGCACGAGTTAAACATCCTTTATATCCATTTTTTTAGCAGGTTTATGCGAATAATACGTAGAACGTGGCGAATAAGCCATAGTTTTTACCTTGTTCACTGCCTACAAAGTCGTCATACGAGATCTTAGTCTCGTTCTATCACGTCTGTAGTTGTCAACTACGTCTTTGCTCTAAGGAGAAATCTCCTTTTTTCAACTTAGAAGTCTTGAGATAAAGATAATTGGACATCATTCCTGCCAGCAAAATTTTCTATCTTATTCAATCATATACACGAGAAATTGATAGAAAAACTTTTCGTTATATTAGTGTAAGTGCAATACGGTGATTTTTTTTTTTTGAGAATTAGATGATAAGGTCTCTTTATCTATCACCGCCCATTTATTGAATAATCTCATGTTTTCAATTTCATCTAGTATGATAGTGTAGTAGAAACTACGATAGTTACCGATAGCAACTTACCTTAGCACCAGTTGTCTAGTACGCAGTTTTATACGGTACTTTCTCTCTGCGTTTTTTAATTTCGTTATAGTTGTTGTTATATTTGTATGTATGTATGTTATTGAGCCATTTAGTGTTCAAATGTTTTTGTTTTTCTTTTCCTTTTATTCTCTATAATTAACTTTGCACTTTTTATTAATTTTTAATAATAAAATGACTAATTTGCAATGTCGTCAATGTATAGAAGGTGTTGGATGGTATTTTATCAGTTGGTATATCACAGAGTTTTTATTTAGATCTAAAATTTATTTACTGCATTCGCAACTCCCATTCTGATTTTTGAGATATTTTTTATATAACACCCCATTCGATCGAGAGTGTAATTTAGGTGAAACTGAAGCTGAGTATTTTCAATACTGCATGTTCGTTGATTATGATAGTCTCTAAAAATCTTTTTGATCAAGCACATATGAGAGAATTGATTTAAATGAATACTAGAGATTTTTTATCTCTATGACATAACGGGCAGTCCTCTCTCATCATTTACCACCTATCAAAGCTCATCGACTTTTGTTTTATTCTAAAATTTGTTGGACATGATGAAAGTGTCGCTCTACAAACATATTCAATGCTAAACAAGTTTAAATGTTTCATTGAGAAAATCTACCTTTACATTAAAGTCGTAGTTTTGTCCAAATTTTTTGTAGAAAAATCGAGAAATTTGATTTTTGCAATAATTTTTAGGCAAAGATTAGAACTATCGCGCATTCCTGCCAAACATTCCCCGCAAAAAGCGTATGAAACAGCTGGACCCATACATGGTCAGAAGGAAAAAAATCTGATGTTACTTTTCTTTTCGTCGTGACAGAGGACTGGCGGGCTTCTTTAACTCATCAAAATTTTGAAAAGGGTGTTGAATTTTAAACATGATTATAATCATTGTTCTATTCATCTTCTTGAACATGCGAAAGGAGAAGGCTGACCGGTTCATCAGCATTTTGGATCAAGCTCTTAATCCATTTTCTGCTATCACAGCATATTTCTATTCTATACACTTATTTCTAATGTAAAAAATCAACACCGTTCAGACATAGTTGAAATTACACTAATGTACATATCTACCAACAGATATGTTTAAGGGATATAGGGAGAACGGAAGAGGCTAACATAAAGCTTCATAAACTGCATAGAAGGAGGAATTCGAACTCTAACACATTTATTTTTGGGTAATTTTGTCCAAGAGTAGACACGCATATTACTTCGTGCGTTCTATTCTTTGATTTGTGTAAACGTGATTTGTATGTTGCTTTCGATTCGATCTGTTCTTCTTTCTATATATTGCAAAAAGATGGTGCCAATTAAATTGAATGAGTTTTTTATACATTAGCACGAATGCCAACAAAAGATTAATAAAAGGATTTACTATATTCTTAATTTTTAAATCCAAATAAGAGCATTTCGATTTAATTTCCGACGGTTCCGACAGGCGGCGGATGTTTTTTTGAATAATTTCTAATAGGAAGAAGCTCGAGAACTGTGTTATTCGCCATTCAAAAGAAGAAACTTGGCAGTACCTTTTTGTAAGAGAAAACATTTCTTCGAAGTAGGTTTTTCTACACGAAAAAGCAGGTCACATAGCTCGAAAACTTAAAGAAGAAATATTTTTGAAAAGCGCAAAAAATGTGAGGAAATCGCTTTAATCAGCTGGATGTTCGACAATATCTACGGCAATAATTTGCTGTTTGACAATTGTTTGAATACGTTATTTTTCTTTTGTATAGCAGAAAGTATTGATATTGTCAAATGAAAGTTAATAACAACAATATCCGACGAAATGATTTACTTGAACGATTCGAGAATGAGAACAAACAATAATAAATAAAAGTTCCTTGTACTTCTGTTACTTTTGGTCTTTAATGAAATTAGAATTAATTTGTTTATTACAAATGATGGAGTAACTCAGATTGACGGTTTATCTAGTGTTCTGTTTCCAGTCGGCTTTAATTAAAGAGAAGACAAAGTTTTAATAATAAGGTAATCATCGTTTGATATGTCAGTAGAGTTTGCTGAAATGCTGGTGTTCGTGCTAATTGCTATATCTAAATGTAACTCAATGTGGTCTTTAGCCGAAAAAAATTACTGAAAATTATTTATAGTGTGTAGATTATTATGCTGCTTTTCATTTATTTTATTTTTTACTATTCTCAAAAGACAACGAGTAGTTTATATGCTGCAGTTAGATGCAGAACTTAAGCAGAAGCTACTATTTCGAAGGCCATATAGCAACAGATGCTCACAAATACTACAGTATAACTTAACCCAATCTATCCTTCTCTAAGAACTTTTTGGTTATATTCTATTCATTTTTCTCCATATGTTTTTTGTTTATGGTTGATTAGTACGTCTATTTACTTATCGTCTATATTAGACAGGTTCTACTCCTGTTTTCATTCTAAATGATGTGTGTGTGTGTATGTGTGTGTAAATGACAAATAGTTAAAGATGTGTGTGATAGTAATTGTTATAATATATATATATATATATCGTTTAGAATAGAGTTCAACTAGCTCCGTTGCCATTAGAAGCTAATGAATGGACAATAAGCCGCAAGGAACGACGAACGCATAAACATTGAGATAATAGAGATCAAACAAAATATTACATTGAACACCGACAAAAAAGCAGCATAAATAATAATAAAAGGCAGAAAAATGATTTATTTACTTCTATATACTAGTACAGGTTCAATATATGTAAGACTGGAGGGTAAGAGAGGATGAGAAACTGACTAGCATGTAATTGATTACCAAAAAGAAGATTTTAATGTTTTCACCAAGATAAATAGAAAATCTCTATCTTATCGTGTGTATGCCTTTTATTTATAATGTGTGTGTGTATAATATTGGCATTTTTTGTAACTATTTTCCTTTTAAATGGATCCTGCTGTTTAACATACGTCAGTCTATCTTGTTAATGTGTTTGTTAAGAAAGACATCTAGAATGAAATATCAGTGGAGACTAAAATGTTAACTATCAAACATAAGAAATTGATAAAATGATGTTTTATGAAGTCTGTTGTAAGAATTCTTGCTATAATTTTGAAACTAAAACCATGATATGTAATAATAATTATATTTTATCTTAAAAAAATAACTTGTTTAACTGATTTTCATAGTGAGCCTATGAATAACAACTACTATTTAATGAAAATGAAAATTATCTGTCAATAGGTGGAGAATGTAATTCTGAAAACATTAGTTTTCAACCATTAATTTTCTATATTCGAATGTGTTTTCATATGATTAAGGTTTCATCAGAGAGAAAAAGAGACTACATGTATCTAACTAAATTTTGACATGTGTCATCTAATTAATGTGCTCAAAGCTTCTGTTCATATTTTTCATAATGAAAAATGTTAAAGATATGTGTATGTACCAGATTTCTCGTACATATTTATTAAATTAAAACCAATCTTTCATGTTTTATATATTTAATTAATAGTGGTGAAATATGATCACCTAAAGGCATTTCATACATATTTCAACATTATCCGTTGACGTTGGTGCTTAAAATAGGAATATCCGCGTACATAACATTCATTTATTTCATTTTATTATAATAAATAGGAATTTGGTACCACCACTCAAATATAATTGTAAGTATCTCTGTCAAAAACTAATCTTTAACATTTTTAAAAGAGTCATTTCATTAGGCGAAATCTATCGAAAGGCTTTGTATTAGACATTCAGTATGGTTTGCTCATTTTTAAGCCAACAACATTCTACTATACGATTATATTTTAATTCTGTTTTTCAAAAGGTTTTAATGTCTCATTCAAATGTTCAAAAAGAGTATATCAAATATTCTATCATAATAGTACAGCTACAGATATTTAAAATTACACCATTTCTTTATCGAAGAAAGTTAGTCTCATGAAACTTGTGCAAGTCACATTCTTTACTTTATGTAAATTTTTTGAAACTAAAACGCTTTTCTATCCACTATGAAATGTTCCTTTTTACTAATTAAAATGTTTTTCGTATGATGAAGGTACACTTTTAAACTCTTTTTCTCTCTATTGTGTCCGATTTAGAGATCAAGTGAAAATATAGAGAAACGATGATTAATATTCACATCCTTTTAGTGACATGCATATTCTCTTGTTCATATGTCTTTAATTGATTATTAAATGATTAAATTGAGACTAAAAACGTATGAGGCAAACAACGTCATAACAACATAGTAAAGTGCATGAGTTAAGTTAGTAATAGCGATCAATTTAGCGGGCCGTTCGATAATTAGTCGAGCAAAAAATGAGATGAATACGTTTGGTTTCAATTATAAAATTATATGTAGTGCCTATACAGGTAAGAAAAAGTATTAAAATCAACATCTATTAGTTGAAGTAGTGCATTAATTGAACGCATTTTGCTTGAAAAATGTTTACACAACAAATTTAGTTCAAGAGCTCGTCACAACAACGGTTATTGTGCCGTCGGACTCATATTATTTATTTTAATCACAATATTTATGGTGCTCTATCATGAATCGATAAAGTTTTATGAAATGACAATGTCTGAATTTTTTAGTATAGGCTTTTTTGAGAAAAAAGAATTTAGAAAATTAGGATTACGACATTATTCCATACAGGATCTTGTATCCTTCTCAAAAGAGTTGTCTTTTATTTTAATATAAGACGAAATGAATTTAATAAAACCGTTTGTAAAACTGAACAAGTTCAAAATCGATAATGTTGATGCATTATTACATTAGAAGTCCACTTATGTTAAAATTTTTTATTATTGTCCCATTCAAAAAAAGAATAACCCATGACTGTTTTTTTAATAACTCAAGACTGGAAGCACTTAGCTATCTGCGGTTTTCACCATCAGAAAGAGCGAACCGTGGGACGTAGACCTATGTAAAAATTATTCTATTATACAAAACACATATCAGGAATTTTTGAGTAAATTTCCCAAAAGCCATCAAATAATCAACATTTTTTTCGAAACCTCCAACTTCCTTTTTATCGCTGAAGGTCTTGTTTTTCAACAGAACAACTTCAGAATTTTATCTTGCTGAGTTCGAATAAAGAAGAGGTATGGTTCAACGTATACCTGACATTTGAATCAGTTGTCTTCCGAGGTTCAAGACTAGGTATATTTTACTGCAGTTTTCACTAAAATTTAAAGTCGTAAGTAACGCATATTTTTACCAGTAGACTCATTGTGTTTTATATAGACCTACGTTCCACGCTTCGCTCTTTCTAATGGTGAAAACCGCAGGTCGCTAAGTGCTTCCGTTCTTCAGTTATTAAAAAAACAGTCATGGGTTATTCTTTTTTTGAATGGACAATAGATAAAGGTAAAAAACGTTTATTGACTGCTTTTGGTAAAAATCGTCTTTCTACAAAATCTTCTAATTTTTGAAAGATTTGACAATTAAGGTATTATATTTTGTATCATTTTTCAAGAGTTTTCTTAATAAAAGGTGTTTTTCTTCTAATGAAGAATATGCTGTCGATAGCACTTACTATATGACGTGTTTCATGTTGAATTGAAGCTATAGAAGATGATATTTGACTAAACTTATTTATGAATGTCGGTTTTAGCCAATCGGAATATATCGTACAGTGCAAAGGCATATAGTGAACATAAAATGATTCACATAATATAACAATCCGATTAGGATTATCAGTAGTTTATAGGTTCGCTGATGACTAATAAAATGTTTAGTTGAATGATCAATTTTGAAAGACAAATTCTTCAGGCAGAGATCTTCTACATGATTAAATTCTTATATGTAGTCTGTATTAGTAATAAAAAGGTTAGCTAAAGTATTTTCTTTTTTTTTAGTATACTTATCTTGACAGAAATCTCTTTTTGCTATATTTCATCTCATTTTTTCTGTAGATACAAAATATTTGTCCAATGAATTATTTTTATTCATTTACATTTTAACCAATCAGACATTTCTATTCTCTGATACAAGAAAGAAAGAACGGTTAAAATCAAAAATAACTTTTTTTTTTTCATGTCCCTGTTGAAGCCTTATGTTAGAAGTTGATTTGATAGATATAAGAGATAAAAGGGAAAAAAAGAACATTAAAAGTGTAGAAAAACAGGAAAAAAATCAGGTCGTTGTTACTTGAAGCAGTGAACGAATAGAAACATACTTCCGATATACTTTCTTTTCTTTTCTGCAGCTAAAATTATTTATTTGATAATGATCATAGCAATGCTATTATTTGCCATTAGCCATTTTTAACATTGCTTCAACGACCAGACATTTTCTTTTTTCATCTCTTTTTGCCTTTTCATCGTCTTTATGTAATAAGAAAAAAAAAAAAAAATGTATATTGATCGTTGTATGAAAATGATCGTATTCATTTTGTAAAAAATCTCCTAAAGGGTCTACATGTCGTTTCTTCATCTCGCCGAGAATTCCTGGCAGGTAAAAAACTCGTTTCTTTTTTTTCTTCTTCTCTTTGTTGTTCTTTTTTTATCACAATACATTAGAAGACTAAAATTCTTTTATATAATAAGACAAACATTAGCAGCAAGCAGAAGATTGCTTAAAGGTTTTTCGAATTGATTTCATCTCACAATCGTTTAATCAACACATAATGGAAAAATAAATATAATGCATCCTTGAGTGTATAAGAAAATAAATTTTCACGTAACCTAATATCGTCTTTTGAGATGACTTATTTATTCTCACTAATCATCATCAATCAGTTATTTTGCTTTGAAAAAACAAAAAAAAAAAAAAAAAATACAGCAGAAAAAATGCATCTATATCATCTCTCAGTTTGACTATAAATGAAAATATTATCAATTATTTTATATTTTACTAAATTAATTTTTAATCCATTATACATCATTGTGATCATGAAGACAAACTATAAACAAGAAAAGTCAATACTATAGTCAACATACATTAAGAAAAGATGAATTTGATTGCATAGTGTTAGGACCGGAGAATGTACACTCTCTCCACTTTTTGGATTTCTTACTTTCTCCTGCTAATAAATTTTCTCCCAATAACTTTTTGGGGACTCAAAAAACACCATTTTACCTTTCTTCCAAAAATTCATACTCCTTCTACTTTTTTTTGTCTTGCCACGACACTGCATATTTGTCATCAGAGATTATACTTGGATATTAGGTAACCATTTATGGAGGAAATAAACTTTGTTGACTAACATCTTCTCCCTTATATCTACTTCTTTCACTCAATTTCTTAGATTATCTAACCATCAAAATCTATTCTTTTGTCATCGTAAACAAATTTTTTTGTATCACTCTTGTTGGATTGCATGTAGAAAATCTATTATAGACGAAATATGTCACTCACTCAATATTAATTAGTATGATTCTAATTAATAGTGAGTCGTATTTGTTCGTTTGTTTTTATGGTGTGGTAATAATTCACTCTTGCATAGTATATTAAAATTCGTTCTAATTTCTAGTAATAATTAAACATATCATATACTACTGACTTTTACATATACTCATTTCTACAAAAACGTTTTTTACAAGCTAAAAAAAATAGTTGTTGTATTACTGCTTTAAGATAATATAAGTTTTTCTTCTTTATGGCACCGATACGTCAACATGGAACAACATCAACTAGTCCGAGTCTTGCCAATTACACGTTTGATCATCCATATTATGTTAAAGTAAGACAAAGAAAGTTAATTATGCGTAGAAGTGAGAAGAGAAAGAATATATAGATAACATATTCTTACACTTTCAAGATATATTGGAGTGAGTGTGTGAGTACAATGTTAAGAAACTGTATGTCACATGGACAAGATGCATCTTTATTGATCTGTTAAAGTTGCTAGAAGGCTTATACAATAGGATGCTATGCGATATTTTGTCGTAAAATAGAGAAAAAAATAATAATATGCTAGAGAAAGAAGATGTGAATATTATCATAAATGATTGCAAATATCTTTGATCAGTTTAAGATAAAAAAATAAAAAATAATAATAAGACAAATTTGTATTTTAACAAAGAAAATCTTTTTTTTAGTATATGTATGCAACGAAAAGTATATATAGATATATATATATATAAACATATAATCTTATCTGAGATGAGTAAAACCAAGCGTTCACCTATTATATATATTTTTCTAATTATTTTAATGCGTCTGGTCAAAAGTATTTTACTAAATATGAAGTGTAGACACTACGATATTTTGATTTTTTAGATAAAAGAAAAAGAATTTCTAAATACACACCTATCGATCTTCTATTAACATTGAAGACTTTCTAGAACGATTTTAGATATTAGGTTCCTACTAAGATTTTCCTTAAGTTTATTTAAAATTCTTACAATACCCTAGCGACTTTTGAATAATACTGAGTTTCATTCCAATTTTCTATAGGATTTTATTAGAATCCTAAAAATCCGATTCAAAAGAATATGTCTCGGATCTTGTAAGATTGTTCATAGATCTCTAATTATGGAAATATCGTTAACGTTGAATAATAATACTTTTCGATAGATAACAGATAGACATTGTAACTACGTCTTATTTTAAAGAAAAGGATGGTAAAAATTTGAGAGTGATTATTATCTATCCATATAAAGTTAAAAGTGTGAAACGTAATTTAATTATACTCAATCAGAATCAAGATAAATTATTTTCTTTTTTTTCAAAGGATCGGGTAAATCATCCTGCTACTAGTTTTGGCTCAATTGGCGCATCAACCTCTAGTAGTCGTTCATCTCACACACCGGTAACTGAATTTCAACCACCATATTTTCCACCACCTTACAATACATCGTTACATCATAATCATCAATTTGATTTACAAGCGGCTGTTACATCTGTCGGTGGTAATGTTCCATTGGATTATGGGTCATCACCATTCAATACAAATCATCATCAACATCATTCTTACAGTAATGATAGACACAATTTACTTCGTTCAACTGGAATGGGTAGTGGAAATGATACCCTTCAAATGCCAGGATCAACATTCGGACAATACGATAGTCGAGCATATGCTGAATATGCATCGTATTACAGTCGACATGCAATGGCCATTGATCCAGAATCATTACAACTATATCGAAATAATTTATTAACAACAGAAAGTCCATCAAGTTTTAGAGTAACCATTATCATTTAAACTTATTCGTGTAAAAATTCATTTATTGTTTTTATAGGTACCTGGTTTGGACGAAGTAGCAAATCCATTAACAGAACATTACAGAGCCACATTTCAAAGAGGTATATATAAGTAATATCTTATCTATTTGTAAATAAGAGACTCTTCTGAAAATACTGAGTGTACAAATTCAGTTCGTTTCAATACGTTAGTCGATATATTATTGAAATATTGATTATAATTATTTCGTTATTTACAGATTTTCGTCGCCCGGATACAAAAGATGGAATTGCGTTGACAATATCTGGCAGTGTTGCTCCATCCGATGTATTTTGCAATGTTCCTGGACGTTTGTCGCTCCTAAGTTCAAATTCAAAATATAAAGTAACAGTAGCCGAAGTACAACGACGATTGTCACCACCTGAGTGTTTGAATGCATCATTATTAGGTGGAATATTACGAAGGTAATTGAAATCTATTAGATTAGTTTTCTATCTATTGTTAAACGATCATACATTAAATAATTTAAATAATTATTAATCTTAGAGCAAAGTCCAAAAACGGTGGACGTATATTACGAGAAAAATTAGAGAAAATTGGTGTAAATTTACCTGCTGGAAGACGAAAAGCAGCTACTGTCACATTGTTAACATCACTTGTTGAAGGTTAGTCATAAAATCGGATATATTAGTTTGATAACCTTTGGACAAGCTTTAAAATATCTATTCATCAATGTCGTACCCAATGAGAAATATATAGATAAAAGACGAAGCTTACGAATTACGATACTACTGAGAACATCATAAAGAAATATCAAGAGATCACATATACATTCATTTTCTGAGGGCTTTTTGAAAAGATTACCAAACTAGAACTTGCTTGTGGAATAAATGGAGTCAATTCAGAATTCTGAAAAAATATTTTTGAATATGCCCACGTTGTTGTAAATGGATGAACAAAACGTTGGTTATTCAGAGTACCAAACTTTACAAAGGTCAATTCAAAGTACCAAAAATTTCTAGATTTGATCTAAGATCATCTTCCTATGTTAAAGTCAAGAAATCTTATTGGCTCGTATATATTAGTACCTTTTCGTAGTCTTGATTATAAAATCTTCATCTTATGTCCACTAATAAGTGTAGTGAATTTAATGCCCGAATTTTCCACTTGTTTATTCTTCTAAAAGTTTAACGAAAAAAGTGAAAAATATTTTTGTTATTATAGGAGAAGCAACTCATTTAGCTCGAGATTTTCATTATGTATGTGATCAAGAGTTTCCTGCAAGACAATGTGCGGAATATAATGCACGACATCATCATCATGATATATCTGAGATATCGAAACGAAAAGCAATGATTCTTGCGTCGAAGTAAGTTTTAGGAAGTTCTCTATCCAACTCAAACGAAAAGATCAATTAACGCTCATTCCGTTCGGTTATAAGCTATTTTCCATGTCGACAACAAACCGTCAATTGATCAGAATGATTAATTACGGTTTTTTCAGCAAAATTTCCCCGCATTAATCGTGACATTAAAAAGAAATTTTGGATTTTTGAAGAATAGACATGCGAAAACTACGTCAGGAAATGTGGAATAGCCAAAACAGATCTCTAATTTGTAAACACCATTTTAAATTATCAATAGAAAAATGCAATTTTTCATTAGAAAAAATTCGACGGACACTTGTGGGAACTTTCCTTTTGTACAAACATGTGCAGATGGATCTAACCTAAACGATCAGTGAATATTTAAGTTTAAAATTGAGATTTTGTACAGTAAAAGACATTCTAAGCATATTGTCATACAATTCATAAAATCATATCAACGGTCTTATTTATTGTTCTAGGCAATTAGTGAAAGAATTCACCGAATTATTGAGTCAAGATCGTTCGCCATTGGGTAATTGCCGTTTGAATCCAGTATTAGACCCATCTGTACAAAGACATTTGACACATTTTTCGTTAATTACACATGGATTCGGTTCACCAGCAATTGTGGGTGCAATGGCTGCATTTCAAAATTATATGACAGAAATGGTTAAATTCTATGATAAGACATATACTAACAACAATAACAATAGTGGAGGTGGACATGTACACAATGAGATGAATATAGCAAAAATGGACAAAAAAGATGATCGATGAATTTTGTCTTGTAATCATTGTCATCTTAACCTTAATACATTCCAGTGATTTGATTTCTAGTGAAAACAGAAGACAAGCTCAGTCTAGTGCTGTGTACGGTTTAAAAAATTTCCTGTTATTTTTTGAAACTTTATCTAGCAGAGTTTTTATTCACGTGTTTCTAAAGGTAAACTTGAGAATTTTTTAGTTAGCGAAGCGATGCTAAGGCATTCTGCATTATCTACGGTTCAGATTTTTTTTTTTTGTCGAACTGTAAACTGACAGTTCTTTGCATAAGAACTTTCATTTATTGTGCATGTTATAGATGAAGTGTAGATTCGTTACGAGATCAAATCGGCACGCCGAGTTTCTTATTTTTGTTCTAAATGATTTTTGTAAGTATTCATTAGACTATTGTGTTTATTATTTCGAAATAGTAAACATTAATCTCAAATAAAATCAATTACATTTAGTCTTCTTCTCCTTCTGTTCATATATTTAAGATAAACATGATTCTTGCGTCGGTTTGATTGTACTATACTTTAATTAGGAGAAACCATACTGAAGATAAGTTTTATTACAAATGATTAAACAAAATTTAATATTTGAGAAGATTCTTTTTTTTTTTAAATTTACCGTTGTAGTTTGTGTATCTTCTGGCTAGGATAATACATCTTCAGCTTCCTTTATGTATCGTTTTCTTTATTACACAATCTGCCCATTTCTACCATGCACACACTTATTTTAATCCTATATACTATATATTGTTAAATGAGAATTTGTTTATCTTGCTCTTTTTTTTCTCATTCATATGAATCAAAAAGTTAAATGCCTTGAGGTTGTTATTTTTGAATTGGTACTAAGATGTGTGTTCACTGATTTGAGATCAATTTCTTTGTTCCCAAATAATATATTCATCTATTCAAAATAAAGGAACCATTGGTCATTGGACAACATCTAAAAGAACAATCTAAAAGTCTGTAAACATCATTCAGAAATAGATCATTGTGGTAAATTTCACACATGGTGATGTGTAACATACCAGCGTTACACGAACATAGTAACGAGTTTCTTTTCGAAATTAAGTTTCATATATCTGAATATGAAGTTTAGAGACTTCTACAAAATGGTAGTCGGTCCGAACAACTTAAAATCTGTGTATTATATGTCTGTATCCAACAGTACTATATATTCATCCTCATTGTTGTTCAACTAATATCTGCTGTATCGATAGACCCTGTTTTCGATACATGTACATTTATTTCAATTTAATATGGAATATTATGAATAACTGTATACCTCTAGTGATGAGGTTTATTTATTGTCAAAAAAATGATTTATTGAAAATTCTCTATATATATGAGAGAAACGTAACTTTCTAGTACAATCACTTGTTTAGATATGTTTCTATAATAACTCAGGTTACAAGAGGCTCGCTTGAGCAAATTTTTTCCTGTACTTTGCCTAGTACTTTGCTCACTTCCACAAAAATTTTCTACTCGATACGTCCTTTCGTTGCAAAGTTATGGGACTCAAAAGTTGAAAAAACTTAATTTTCTGATGACTCATCATCTGAAAACTGAATTTTTGATTATATAAAAAGATATAAAAAGAAAAGGAAAGCAGCGCATCCTATAGACAATTGAATTATGAATCTAACCATATGATTAGTGTTCAACTTTGTTTACTTTTTTTTGTTGTTCTTTAGATATAATCATTTTACAAGCATCTTTTCCGTTTTTTGTAGACCGACCTTCTCTTACAGTTTTTCCCAAAAGTCGACCACTGAAGAAATTTCTGGAGTGGCTGAATTGTAGATCAGATGTCGGTCTACAACTCTATTTAAAAAAATCCAGTTTGGATGGTTTGGTAGAGATAAAAACAGCTTTCATTCTTACGGAAGTCAATTTCCGCTCTAAATGTAGACTGACTTTTTGC